TTTTTTGAGTAAATAATGTTTTCTTTTAATTATTATTTTATTGCCAGTAGATATACGTTTAGTTATTTTAGCTATACAGAAATATAATTGAAAAGTTTTTGTTTTATTGCTATTTCGGGATGGAATGTGTTTTTTTTTAACAATTTACGATTTTTAAGTAGCGAGGATGAATAATGTAATTACATTGTATATACAGGCAACTTTTTTCCTTATAGATGAGCTTCTCAATAAATAGAAGATACGGAAAAGTCGTTTGACATTTTGAAAATGTTAAATTTGGTTTTCATAATACCTAGCACGATAAGAGCATGAGAAGCTAAAAGATAATAAATTAAAAATATCCTGTACAGAAAAATATCAAAGTAAGTCCGTATGGTGCCGAACTAAAAATGTCTAGTTTTCTTGTCAATTTTTCAACAAAATAATATTAATAAATTAATAATATGATTGTTTATATTTACAGTGCTCCAAAATTATTACAATATTTTCTCCTTTATAATCAACTGATCATTTTCTTCTTCTTCTGGTTCCTAACCGTTTCGGATGTTGGAAATCATATTGGCAATCATAACCTTGGTCGCTGCGGCTCGAAACAGCTCCGTTGAGGTTTTCTCAACATGACATATATGTATTTGGATTCATTTGTATTGCTCTTGTTAAAATCATCGACCTAAACTAGCTGGAAAAATGCTTGCTTAAGAGGTGTGGCTTTTTCTAAGATTAGATTTTCTCAGAAGTCGTTCATCGTTATAACCGATCCTATTAATCCTAATTGGCATACTACATATTTAACATTTATGTGCACTTCTGGTTCAGCTTTAGGTTAAATACTTTTTATAGTTACGTAGCCATGCCGACGACTTAATGTGTCCTTTGAAGGACGGCGTCTGTGCTGGAGTCGAACAAGGGGCGTCCGTCTTGTTAAACCATTACCATACCCACTGAGCTACAGCCGTTACTACAGACATCATTACTAAAAAAGACAATGATGACATTTCTACTCTATATAAATAGTTTGTATTATGCTTTACTTGATTCAAACATAAAAAATTTTATATATTGATTCTGTGACTGCTCTGGTAATGAAAAAAGATTTATACATCTATCACTTGCATTGTGTTATTATTTAACGAAAAAGATTTAATTTTGTTGGTGATTTTTCAATACGAATATCCAATATTAATCAAGTATGTATATTATCCAATTATAATGGTACAGGGACCCCTACGGATATGATGCATATAAAACTTATGATTTTAAAAAATATGTATACCGCCAAATATAACTTATAAACATAAAAACGATAAGTTTCTTGTTTGTTAAATTTTTGTTATTAACTTCAGATCCTAAATTAGGGTTGGAGGAAAAGTTTGTTAATTTATAGAGACTGTAAAAGTTCCGTAGATAAGAGGCTCGAGATTATTTTACTTCAGGGGTATATAATAATTAACTACTAATATTATGGAGTTTTTTTCTTAGAAAAACACTTTCAAGTTAAACAGAAAGTAATCTTTATTATCTTACAATAGTTGATCTAAAACAATTTCATTTTATGTAATAGAAATATCAAAATATCAAAAATATTTTTCACTTTTTGTTTGTCTTACTTTAATAATTATATAAACATATAACTGGTCATTGAGAAAAATATACACATTACTTAAGAAAATAAGACTTTGTCTTAATTTGGAGACTTAATCACGAGTATTTATCGACTATCTTGAATTGGTTCTTCTTCTAGTTCCATGACCGTTATCGATCGTTTGATATCATGTTGGTTACCATATTCGCTATCGTGACTTTATTGACAGCAGCTCTAAATAACGATGTAGTTAATTTTACATACCATTGCCTTAGATTTTTCAGCCATGTTCTTCTTCTACCAGGACCACGATTACCTTGGATCTTTCCCTGAATGATCACATGTAAAAGATCATATTTTTCAGGGTGTCTCATAATGTTACCGAAGTATTCCAGCTTGCGTTTCTTTATTATATTGACCAGTTGTGTTGTTTAGTTCAGCCGTCTAAAGAACTACTCTTTTCTAACTCTGTCGACCCAGCTTATTTTTAGTAGTCGTCTGTATACCCACATCTCAAAGGCTGACAAGCATTTAAGGATAGCCTCAGTTAGAGTCCATAGATCACAAGTCTGTTTAATTTTGTTCATTAGATTTTGAAGGTCTTCTCCGCAAATAACAAGCACTAAGGTATCGTTAGCATATCTAATATTATTGACGGTTACTCCATTCACAATAATACCTTCGGTTGTCTCCATTAGGGCTTCCTTAAATATTTCCTTCGGTTAAAAAGTAAAGGCAAAAATATACAGCCTCACTCCTCTTTTTATATTTATTTCATCCGAAAGTTCTTGTTCAACCTTTATTCTTGCCACTTGATGCCAATATAGATTTGTAATTATTCATAGATCTTTATCGTCCAATTCAGCTGTTTTCAAAATTTTTAGCATTTTGTTATGTCGGACTTTGTCAAAAGCCTTTTCAAAAACGATTGCATAAATGTACACATTTTGATTTATGTCTCTGCATCTCTGTACAAGCACCTGTGTACTAAACAAGGCTTCTTTTGTACCCAAGCCACTCCTAAACCCAAACTGAGTATTGCTAATTCTGTCCTCTAATAGCGTGTAAATATTCTGCTGTGTATTACTCGCAGGAAGATCTTCAAAACGTGACTTATCAGACTTATTCTCCGATAACCACCGCATGTCTTTGGACGATGTTTTTTAGGTATTGTGACAAAATTCGACTTTAACCAGTCAGTTGGTAATATCCCAGTGTCATAAATTCTATTGAACAAGATTACATAGAGCTTTAATTCCATTTTCTCCCAAAAACTTTAGTATTTTAGCACGTACTTCATCGGGGCTAAGTGCTTTTCCATTTTTTGCCGTTTGTATTAAACGTGTAACCTCACTTTCAAAAATTGTTTATTTTTATATATTTACAGGTTAAAAAATTTCAACATTATTGTTTATAAAGTTTTTATTTAACAAAATAAACGAAAAGAAATGTAACAACTATATATTTTATTTAATTCTAGTGTATGAAAAATTCACATGTAGTTTTGAGGAAAATGGGCAATAAAAAGAGAAAAATCGAAAAAAGTGACTACATTTTTGTTGTATGCCAAATTCACTAAATGATTACCGGTATTAAAATAAGTCGATAGAAAAAAAATACCGACATAAATATGTTAATATATATCTCTTTTATGATCTAAACTAATATATTATTAAAATATTGCGATTTTTTTTTTCGATACTTCGAATTTACTGCAATTGTAATACTTACTCTGTCGATAGTAACATAAGTTTTTTTTCTGTTACTTTTATGAGTATTCCCTTTGATTCATAATAAAATTAACAAGAGAATGTTAATCTCATAGTTGGAAGTAATACATTTAAGCAGATAGAACATGGACACGTTGAAATATGAATGGGCAAACTGAACAAAACACTAGACAAAATAAGTACTAGTCTATTTAAAGGAGCTTTTTTAATATATATTTTAAAACTTTTGAAAACAAAAGTTTTTTCTATATGTGTGGAATTGTATAAATAAGTGTTAATAAAATAGCAAGGAAAAATTAAAAAGATCGAATATACTAGAAGTAACAAAAGAGATAGACGTTAGAGTTTAAGTATAAAAATCAAATACTTAAAGATGGAACAAGCAGATAATATATTAGCGAAAACGTCAATGAAATAGACAAATGATCCAATTCTTGAGATGATGATATGAATAAAGATGCTGGAATAAATAAATATAAACAATAATAATTGATCCTAAGAGCCTATGATTTTGATGTATTGACATAATTCTGCAAACCTAAATTTATATATTATAAAATATTTTAAAATATATTAAAAATTTAGATAGCACCCATTGTTTAGAGTTCAACAAAATAGCAAAAGACAATTTTTACATGTAAGGTTAGTTTGGTTCTAAAATTGTAACCAATATCAGCTTTCATATATTTTTCTTATAAATCTATGTGCAGTCATTTTCGAATTTACAATAATTTAATAGAAAAAGAAACTTCGACAGAAAAACATTTATTGTTAGTTAACAATAGTTTAACTTAGATTTTTTTGAGGTTTATTCCTAGCTTTTTTTTATTAAATTATTGTAAATGCTGTAAAAAAATATTTCACTATAACAATAAACTTTACTATCAAAGGAGTTTTTTATTGTAACAAACTATTACTTAGAAAATAAACCTGGGTTAGATTATAAATTCTGTATGGTATAGAAATTTGCTATAACGATTATTGGTTTCATATAATCAAATAGACTACCCTCAAATAAAGTCGTTGAATGAACGCACCTCAAAAAACCGAAAATAATGTGTTGAGGTCCTTAAGCTGTGTAATATGTCACCGAAATTATTGGTGTAAATGTACCAGCCAAGAATAAGTGTGTAAATCAACTTAAATGTATTATTTCAACTTTAAAGTATCGATATAATTGAATTTTAAATTGTGTATTTTAAAACACGGTGACAATATGGGAACCGAAACGTAAAATTTACTTTTAATAAATTTTTGCGTATCATATATGTTTCGTATATTATACCAATTTTTAATTTTTAAGAGTTTTAGACTAAAAAAAGTACGTTTTTAAATTAATTTACTTAAACTACAAAATGGTTTGAATTTCCGTTAACCAGGTATAGTACATTTTTTAAATTTACACTTACATTTAATGAATAAAAATGCATATCCCGAAAATTAACTATTTGAACAACCCGCTGTTCTGTATAAATTATTGATAAAAATATACTTATACTTCAAAGATGAAAAACTGCAATTTTCAATATTTGTTTTCCTCATTAATAAGTTCTTAGTTACAAAACGTTCCCATGCATCTGATTCTCACGTCGTAGTAAATTTTCGTGACTGATTCATTCGTAAAAATTTTAACCTTGGCGCGAATCGCATTAGCACCTCTTCAACCGCTATCAAAACAATAAACCTACCTTTCAATCTAAAATCAAAGACCTCCTGTGAAAAGGCGTCTGTCCTTAGCAGCCGTTGAACTCACTGGTTAAACACAACACACTGCGAGCACACCGCACTTCTTCGTCCTGAAAATACAATGTCAAGATCACGGCAGTAGCGGAGAATCGTACGAGCTTAGAGAATAAGAACTTCGAAATGGGTTCAATCGGCAGGTGCCTGTGTCTTATACTTGGCTCAAGATGGTTGAGCAACGATGGCTATTGGCTGAAAAGAAGAATCCTCGGCGAGCATTGGGCCGAAGGCTCTCGTTCTTTTTACCACGGTTGCTGAGTCGCGGAACAGTTAGATCTTTGCGTTGGCGAGGCGACGCTAGATGGGTACTTGTCTTTCTAATGCTTGTAGTACAGGGAAATTCAGCCACTTTAGTTACATTACTTATTCATAGGATGGTAAAATTATGGTTAACCAGAATATATACATGTACAATGTGTCCGTAATGTATGGAATAAATTCGATATTTCCTAAGTGAAAAGCTTTTTAAAAAAAAATCTAAAACACTCCAAATTTAAAATTTAATGTTTTATATTTTACAATAAAATTCCATTATACAAGCTGATACACATAAGGGTGATGACGTCATCCTTTTTTTTTTTTAATGTAACACCCTGTATGTTAAGACATTTTTAGATCTATGAAAATGAGCTATTTCAAAAAAGTATAATACTGTTGGTCTTACCTGGGGGTTTAAATTACCTTCGAAATAGTAGGGTCCGATGATTCTATTTCATACAATGCCAGTCCATACGATTGGCGTGTATTGTGTATGATGTTCCTGCCTCCAGTTGAGGGTTTTATTTTGCCCAGTATCTACAGATCTGACGGTTAACCTCGCCAGTTAATGTGAGTGTAGCCTCATCAGAAAAAATAATATTGTGAACCAAGAGAGGGTTTCGGTGGCAGTTATCTGTAATTGTTTCGCAAAATTGTATTCTTTTATCTGAATCATCTTGGTTTAATTCCTGTACAAATATGCATCTAAAGGGGTGTCATTTTTTAAGGTTTATTACTTTGTGTACCGTTGTTTTGCAAATATCGAGATCACGACTAACCTTACGAACAGAAGTGTGCGCACCTTCTTCAAAAGCAACTAGAACATTTAATGTTGTATAATAATTAACAGAGGATCGACCTGATTTGCGTGCATTTTCAACTGTGTCAGTTTCTCGAAATTTCTTTTCAAACTTAATTGCTATTGACTGCGTTATGGGTCTTTCTGTATATTTATCATTAAATAAATTACACGCTTCCATCTGAGTTCGCGATTTGTCTCCATACCCAATCATCATGAGTATTCCAATTCTTTGCTTTACACTCAAATTCATTTCTACTTCAAATTAATTCTAAGCAATTATACAGAACATTCACGAATGTATACAATTAGTTCATTACTTAATTGTTATTGAACGTTACTAAAAATAATTACGTTTCAATAAAAACTAGTAGTAGGCCACTTTTTTGCAATTAATAATAAATAACTTATTTTTCCAATGTATATTTTTTAAATTATATCCATTAGGCGTAAAAAATACAAACGCAAAAATATTATATAGTCGCAAAACAGATCTTATGTCTAAAATTTTTAGAATCAAAAGTGATTAGGCACCCATAGGTATATAATAGCAACCACTGCCTACAAAGTGCAATGACATTCCTATCTGTAAACGAAAAAACGTTAGGGCATAGATGTCATAGATGACAAAAAAAGAAAGGATAAAAACAAAGAGATAAAACCTTGTAAGAGGTTGATAAACAAGACCTAAAAGTTAACCATTTTAAATATCTAGGATGTTGGATAAACGAGAGTCTAAAGCTGGATGAAAAAATTAAAACTCATATAGAGGGATGCAGGAGGAGCATTTATGAAACTTAGATCTATTCTGAGCAATTCTCAGCTCAGCATTCTCTTCTGAGCTCCTCTCTAATTCAGGAGGAGCATTTATGAAACTTAGATCTATTCTGAGCAATTCTCAGTTAAACTTACTGCTGAGAATTAAGTTCCTAAAATGTTATTTGTATCCTGTATTACTATATGGATGAGAAACCTGGATTGTAAAGGTTAACATGATAAACAAATAAGCCTTAGAGATGTGGTTATATCGTAGAATGCTCAGAATATCATGGGTTACACATTTCAAACAGAAAAGTCTTGTACAGAGTAGATCAAAGTGAAGGTGACTTAATAAAGATGATAAAAAAGAGAAAACTCGAATATATGGGACATATAATGAGAGGAAGCAGATACAGGATAATGCAGTTGATATTCAACGGAAAGATTGAAGGAAGAAAAGGAAAAATTGGTAAAAAGAAGTACTGATAGTTCCGAAACCTTCGTCAATGGACTGGTTTATCAGCAGATGAATTATTACATGCCGCGCAAGATCGAGAACGATATCGGCAAATCGTCATTGAAGCTACCCACGCCTAAAGTTTGGGCATGGTATTCAAAGAAAAAGAAGAGGTTGATAGAGAAAAAGGGTAATAGGTGCTTTTAAGATATATGAATAGATGCGAATCTACAGAAAAAACATAAGTTTAGTGGCGTAGACGCACCCAAACAATACAATAGTAACGTATACACTTAGCTCTGGGCAGCCCCAGAACAACAAGAAAAACATAAAAAATCGAAAGTCCTACTGGTGATATAAAGCTATTCGAGATAAAAAAAATTGAAAGAAAAATTTAAAAAAATTTAAGTTAAAAAATCCAACACAAAATACAATTTAAGGAAGCACAGTAAGGCGTTTGCAAAAAGATGGTTATAGAAAGCGATGAAAAATCAGCATAAATATATAAAATGAATAGAAGCTGTAGAAATAATCTAGCATACCGCAACAATTAGAATAGCAAGGGCAATAAAAGGTCTTATACAAGGACACTTTATATCGCCTACACTTTTTAAAATATATTTAAAAAAAAGAACGAAAACAATTAAAGAAGAAATGAGAAATGTGGGGTTATCACTTACCGACAGCACCTCCTATACAATAAGTTTTGCCGACGATCAGGTAGTAACAGAAGATGGGTATGATGAACTGGATTATATAAATTGAAGTATGTTAAAAGATGTTTTAATAATTTAAAAAGAGTGTACATAATATATAGAACGTTACAAAGAAATATTATGTAAACTACTAATACAATTAGGTTACTAACCTTAACGGAACACTAGATGAGGCCACTAGAACAAAAAACTTGGCAAAAATTTAAGAGATCGATGTGTAGTAGAAGATGCAGTAAATAATAGAGATGTTTAAATACACCATAAAAAAATTCTAACATACTTTGCATTTGACTGTTATTAGTGTAACCATAACTTCTTATCAGAAACGGTGGGTAGCCAATTGCGGTACGCATTTCGTGTATAAATTTTGTCTAGCTGGTCTCTCAGATGTGAGAAGGTTTTGTCTTAAATGCAAATCGAAAAATTGGTCTTGGCTGGGATAAATACAGAATATTAACTAATCATATTTATTATACATTAAAAATAAAATTAGGTTTTAATATGGAGAAAATAAATCATCCCTAGAGCCGTACAAGAATTTAAAAATGATACGGTAATGGTAATATTTATGGCATTATTTTTGTATGTACTGTTGGTTTCATGCAGTTGAATTGATTTTTGAACATAGTTATTAGCTATAGATAAAGGCATTAATATCTTAAATGTAGCTAAATGTAGATGACTGCATGCATGTATCTTCAGGTAGCCGTTAATGGATGGAAAATGGTACCATTTTATAGACTGTATATAGCTGTATTCCAGTATCAGTAGCAGATTAATTTAGAATTTAAAACTAGAGCGTTAGCCCTTTTGTTTTTCTATCTGGTACAGGATTTGAACTCACTTCCGCTAGACCATTTAGCAGTAAAGTGAAGAGTGAACCGACAGCCTACTCTGCTTAACTATCTAAGTCTGATTCATTGTTTATTAATAAGGAATAAATTAAATACATTAGATAAAAATAATGTGCCAGAGAATGTAATAAAAGTTAAATGGATATTTACAGATATATGTAGAGAGAGGAAGTGGAAGACTGTAGATGAATAATGCATTGGCGATTAAAAAAAATCTTTAACAAGATGAATGGCAACAGCAATATTCAAAAACTGGTAGGGGGCATAATGTGTTTCCATACAAAACTGCTGCAAATCTTAACATCCTTCTAAGGTACTATTTTTATTCATTAACTATATTTTTAACGATATCGAAGCAATTTTAATTACAAATTTAAATATCCTGAGCAAAAAATCGTGCAGGTTCCTTCATTACAGTTCACAATCGAATGCGTAACGAGAAATAGACTTATTTGTTATTCACGGAATGAATTTCGTGCCATTGTCGACTCGGATGATGCATCTCAAGAAAATTTCTCGACTATTAATTAAAGTTAAGATGCCTGCAAACAGGCATGTAACAGGTCGTACTACATTTTGGAAATGATTGGAATTTTGTACGATAAAGGCGATGAATAATTAGTCTACAGTTATACTTAGAGTTACTTTTTGTTTTAGTCGTGCTATAAACTAGTAACAAGATTTAATTATTTTATAGTTTTCTTACGTTGAAAATGTACAAATTTGTTTTAATAATAATTTAAATGTAATTGAATCAATTATTTTTTAACGGGACTAAGTGTTAGTAAGCCGTTTTGTGAAAAACAGAAAATGTTTATCTCTTGATACTTTAAAATTTTTATTACTTCTATTTCTTCTTTTTCTTTATTGGACCGATTTTTCAAAAGAATAACTTTCCGAAATACACATTTTATAAAGTAATAGTATAATATTAAAAATAGAAATAAAATTTTATTCTTACAAAGTTTAAAACAAAATCGTCAAAAAAAGTTTCCAGTTTACAGTTCTATCAAGATGCTTGGGCTTTGAATTTTTTTGTTTTCAGGAATTTGTTATATTCCGTAACGTAAGATTCCTGCTTATATTCTGCTACCCACTGGTTAGGGCTTAGCAAATAGTTTTTTTGTTTCCAAAATTTATACCATGTCTTCAGGATATGCTGGTATTTCGGGATATTCGATATTAAATTGGCTGTTGTGGTTTGAGAGAGCCAAATGGAAATAATTATCACCAAAAATTCTATTAACATATTTCGCCGTTCTTACATAACCTAATGTTAAG